TCCCCTGTGGCTCCTCCCTGTCTATGGCTCCTCACCATGTGGCTCCTCCTCTCCTGTGGCTCCTCCCTCCCCATGGCTCCTTCCCCTGTGGCTCCTCCCTCCTCCATGGTTCCTCCATGGTTCCTCCTCTATGTGGCTCCTCCCTCCCCATGGCTCCTCCCTCCCCATGGCTCCTCCCTCCCCATGGCTCCTTTCCCCCTGGCTCCTCCCTCTCTGTGGCTCCTCACCATGTGGCTCCTCCTCCCCTGTGGCTCCTCCCTCCCCGTGGCTCCTTTCCCCTGGCTCCTCCTCCCCTATGGCTCCTCCCCTGTGGCTCCTCCTCCCCTGTGGCTCCTCCTCCCCTATGGCTCCGCCCTCCCTCCTGGCTCCTCACCTAGAAGGACCGCATCCTCGTGTCCTCATTGAAGGTCTTCTGTGAGCTAAGGAAATACTGTGGCCAGGACTGTGCAGCTGAACAGGGCAGGGGCAGGTGGGGCAGGGGCCCTGCCTCCCATGTGCAGGTTCACAGATCACCTGGACTCTGAGGTTGTGCATCCCCTCCTTAGTGCCCTGTGTGAAATTCCACAAGCTGCCCGGGAACAGGTGCCCTTCGGGGAGGCCGTGCCTGGTGTGGAGGCTGCTGGCGCTCAGGGCTTCACTTCTTCCCTTGGGCCCTGTCTGGGCAGCTGCTCACCAGCTTGGCCTGTTGCAGCTGTCCTTGCCACACCAGGCTTCCCAGAGTCCCTCAGGTGTGCCTGGGCAGGGACCCTGACAAGAAGTGTATAACTCCGACTTGGAATCTGCCTCCTCCCGCAGGGTGCTGACGGAGCTGGTGTCCAAGATGCGGGACATGCAGATGGACAAGACCGAGCTGGGCTGCCTGCGGGCCATCGTCCTCTTTAACCCYGGTACGCCCCTCCTGGAGGCCCAAACCTGGCCTCTGGCTCCATACTGCAGAGGACAGCCGTGCTGCTGGCTGTGCCTCCTGAGGGTTGGCCCCGGGTCTCATGCACAGTTCGCCTCAGCTGGTGACTCAGGGCCTGGTGACAGTGCTGGTCATCGTGGTCTCCAGCTGGGCTCTGGACTTCGGTGGGAGTGCCTTGCTGTCCTGCACTGGCACCTAGGCTCCAGCACAGGCTGGATCTGACGTGTCCTGGTCAGTGTTGACCCCCACTCAGGCCTGCTATCCTGGGGTCACCAGCATGCTCCAGCCTCAGGTCCAAGGCAGAAATTTCTGAGGCCATGGCCATGGGGTCGGCATGGAGCAGGATTGGGGCAGGCCTCGGGCAGGCCTCGTCTCCACCCTCCGGACTCCCACTGCAGAGGCCCCAAGGTAGTGTCCGTCACCCATGGGCACAGCACTGTGCTATGTGGGGTCCACTGGGCAGCACTGTGCTATGTGGGGTCCACTGGGGCAGCAGCAGGCTGGGCCCCTCAGAAAGCTGGGAGTAAATGGGCAATGCCCCTCATGGCCACTGCCACCAGATGGCCAGTGCCTAGCATGGCGAGAGTGCAGGATGCCCCCTCCCAGGTAAGGGTCAGAGTGGCCAGTGCAGGGTGGAGGAGCTGCCGGCTGAATGGGAAGGGGCAGAGGGTTTCAAAGCTGCTTCTCTGGGGTAGTGGCAGGACGAGGAGGGAGCAGGCTTGGTGCTGCTGTGACGGTGTTCCCTACACACCAGGCCTCCTGAGGATAGGTTCCTCATGGCACTCCTGGCCTTGACCCTGCCAACCCACAAACCTGAGCCGTCCTCTTGCCCAGCCTGGCAGAGCCGGTGCTAGTGCAACAGCATTAGCACCCGGTCAGCCGTGCCCTGTGGTTTTGGTGGCCAAGACCATGCCATCTCTGCAGCCTGGGCACAGGCCCCCGGGTCCTAAGCTCTGGACTCCCATCCCAGGCTCTCAGGGAAGGGCTGCGGCTGCTCCCTAGGAATAGGCTTGTGTTCAGGGAGGGGGTGTGGCTTCTGTTCACGTCAGGGGGGGTTCTGACCTGGGTGCAGTGAGGTACCCATCACGGCTCTCGGTTACCGTGGCAACCGGGGAGCAGATTCCTCACTGTGCAGGCACAGAAACTGAGTCCCCGGAGGTCGAGGACTGACCTGTGGCCATGTCGCTTTCAAGTGGCAGAGCCAGGCCTCAAATCCAGAGCACCCTGCTGTGAGCATCACGCTGAGCCCCCCTGCAAGGGGAGCCATGGGGAGCCGTGTCCAGGAGCAGACTGCCCATTGCTCCACCTCCRCCCATGGGCTGAGCCACGGGGTGGATTCCAGGGACAGTCCACACAGTGCGGGGTCTGTCCTGAGGCTCTTCTCCTTGCAGACTCCAAGGGGCTCTCGAACCCGGCAGAGGTGGAGGCGCTGAGGGAGAAGGTGTACGCGTCCCTGGAGGCTTACTGCAAGCACAAGTACCCCGAGCAGCCTGGCAGGTGAGGCCGCCCCCCAGCAGTGGGCGTCCAACGTCGCAGACCGTAGGAGCTTTACAGAGGCACAGCATAGGGGCCGTGGCTGGAGCATGGGCTCAGCTCTGTCCCTGCCCAACTGGGCCCAGGAGGACTAGGGTCTTTCCTCATTTCTGAGCCCACAGTGCTGGGTGTGCAGTCGGAGGAGTGGGGACTCTTGGGATTCGTGTGAGGTCCCATCCTGCCCTGCTCTCTGAAGGCACCACCTGCCTCCCGCCCAGCCTCCCGGCCTCCTGACCTGCAGACCAGGTGTCGGGTGCAGGGAGGGTGGGGCAGCCSGAGAGCCCAGCCCCCCTGCCAGCTGGCACGCACACAGTTAGCAGCGTCCTTGCTGCCTGCTCAGCCCTCATCTGGTTTGGTTTAAGGCGAGACTTCCCAGAGGATGAGGACAGGAGGGGGTGGCAGGCGGCTTGTTTTTCCTGGCTTCCTGCCTGGACCCATCTCGCCAGCTCAGCAGAACACGGCTTGTTCTCTGGCCCTGCTCCAGACGCCAGGCTGCATTTGTGCCTTTAAAACGAGGATCCAGGGCTTCCTCCCCGGAAATAAAAACATTGTTAATAATTAATGAGCCCCCCCAGCCCCTCCAGGGCTGGTGTGGAGAGGCCTGGGCAGACAGGAGCCTCCCAGGACCACCCCGATCTGTCCCTCCTCTGTACTCTCCTCCCAGGGGTCTGCAGTGGCTGTCCCTCATGTCCCTCCTCCCAGTGCCCCTGAGACCTCTTTCCCTGTCCTCCCACGATTCCTTTCCAGGAGACTTCCCAGGGTGGGCAGGGCCTTAGCAGCCAGCCCCCACCACGGCCGGTCCTCTGGCCCCACTTCAGTCGGGCTGTCCTGGGAAGGGGTGGCCCTGTGCCCGTGGGGGCGTGGTGGGAGGGGCTGGCTCCARCACAGAGCGCTTCTACTCCACTGGGCACTGCCTGCCAAGCCCTGGCATCACCTGGGCGCCACTCACGCCCTCCCAGCAGAGGCTCCCAGACCCCCAGTTCATGCCTGTTGCTCTCCCCTTAAGGTCCCGCTGTGGCCCCCCTGCCTGTGGGACAGGCCCATGTTCATAAGTGCTCCATCAGGCCCACTGGGCCTGCCCYGGCCGGCCACTGTGGCGTCACCAAGGTCCTTCCTCACAGCCCTTGGCCCGAGGTCTTCTTGGRGTGCCCTGCCCCTCCTCATGCACCCGCTCTCTGACAGGTTCGCCAAGCTCCTGCTGCGCCTGCCGGCCCTGCGCTCCATCGGGCTCAAGTGCCTGGAGCACCTCTTCTTCTTCAAGCTCATCGGGGACACGCCCATCGACACCTTCCTCATGGAGATGCTGGAGGCCCCACACCAGACCACCTAGGCCTGCGCCAGCCTGTGCACTGCCCCATCCGGGCCCCGCCTGGACGCAGCTGCTCTGCTCGGCTCCAGCCCTGCCCCTGCCCTCCCCTGCCTGGCCTGTGTGGACCTGTGGGTGCAGTTTGTCACTGCCATCCCAAGAGATGTTTGCCACCTCGTCATCTTTACCACTGCTTGTCTCTGGCCCAGGCTGTGGCTTTTCCAGGGCAGCAGCCAGGGTGGCCGGAACTGGCAAGACCCAGGCCCCTCTGCTGGCTCTGGCAGGCCCCCTGCTGTGTCRCCTGCAGGGTGCCGTGGAGCGGCTCCTGGGCCTCAGGGCCTAGAGCTGCGGGAGCGGCAGGTGCCTTGTTTGGGTTGTCGTTTGCTGTTGCTGGTTCTAGGGATGCCCTGYGCCCCCCGGAGTGAGCCATCTCCTGCTCTGAGTACCGGAGCCTGGCCAGCTGCGAGGGCCTGTCCGGGTCAGGAGGAAGGGCCGGTGGGGCAGGCCGGCTTCTCATTGCAAAAGACCCCCGCTGCCCCTGGGAGCCAAGAGGGGCCTGTGGGCTGCAGGCCGCGCTGCACTTGGCGTGGAGGTGGATAGCCCTGTTTTCCAAAGATAATTTGCAGCTTGGCCCTGGGACACTGAGAACACAAGCTGACCTCTGCAGGGCTTGGGCCACCTGGAGGCTGCAGGAATGAGGGCCATGGGTTTCTTCTTGTCATTGTGTGGTTCCWGCTTCTCCCCACCCGATGTTCCCATTCAGCCAGGGTGACGGACCCTCGTCCCTGACCCCTTTCCTACCCAAGTCTTCCCTTGCAGTCTGCGAGGTGGACCGAGGCTAGTCCTCACTTCCTGGGCGGCCCAGTCTCAGGCAGGTGGTGTGTCACCCTCTTAGTGGCCTTGTGGGCAGCACACAGGCTGTCCTGTCCCCGTGTAGTTCTACTGGCTTCATGTGTGGATGGCGGCCACCCCGATGGCTTCTGTGAGGGACGGGAGGCTAGAGGCTGCCTGGCTCTCTCAGAGAGAGGCAGGAGGCACTGAGACCCAGAGGGACTCCTGGGGGACGAGCCATGTGGGTGGGCAGAAGCACTGTGTCCTGGAGCAGCCGACACCCTCTGGGACCCCTGTATGGATTCCTTCTCTGGCTGTTCTGTCTGGAAGATTCTGCAGGCCTGGCCAGAGCCCCCAGCACCACGTTGTCTGTGGACGACGTTGGCCCAGAACCTTCACTGGGGGCTCCATCTCACCCCCACCCTGAAGGGTGGAGGGCTGCTGCCTCCTGGCTCAGCCCCGTCCAGCCAGRCCCCTCCTGCGCRGCCTGCTGGGCTCCGAGGTGTGGGCTGCTCTCAGGTTGGACTGGCCTCTTTGCACTGTAAGCCCCCTGGGCGCCAGGACTTGGATGCTCACTTCTCAGACCCYGTTGGGGTGGGGAGGTGTCACAGGGAAGGGCCTGTGTCTCCCAACCTCTGCAGAGGCGCACTGCCCTGGCGGGAGGAGGAGTCTGAGGTTGGTGGGGGGTGCTGGGAGGGGTCGATTTCCAGGCCTCCGCAGGAGCGGTGTGTCGGTCCCTAACTGAGGTACTTGGGCAGAGGCTGCAGCCCAGTCTGCTGGAGGCAGAGGCCATCAAAGATTCCAGAAGCGCCCTCCCTCACCCTGCCCCTCTTCTCAGCACGGCTCGGGCACACACACAGAACTCTGCGCTGGTACCAGGGCCGGTTGCCCCTCCTCCCAGACTTTCCTGGGAAGTCTTGGCAGCCTTTGGGACATGGTGGGACAGGCAGAGGGCGTGACGCTCTGCAGATCCCCGTTCCCCACCCAGCACTGTGCCTTCTGCACCTGATGTGCCCAGCACTCACGCCGCCCCGCCACATGCGCTGCCYGAAGCCCTGGGTGGGGTTTCCTGGGGACTTCTTGTTTGGGGCCCAGCTCTCTGTCTGTAAAGCACCGAGGTCCCCGGCCACCACCTCCCGACACCAGAACCCCAGTCCCCCGGTCCGTGCAGCYTTGCCCGCTGTCCTGCGTCACCTTAGACTGTCCCGTGGGCTCCCCGTCCCTTCTCGTTAGTCTCACTGTCACATTCTGGGGGTACAATGCTGTTTGTCTGCGGGGGATTCGTGGATGTCAAGTGGCCCTGGACGGAGGCAGGGTGTCGGCCAGGCCTTTAGTAGTGTTACCAATCTGGCGCAATTAAGGTGATTTTTTTGTAATTATTATTATTTTGGTGGGACAATCTTTAATTTTCTAAAGATAGCACTAACAGCRGCTCATGAGCCACCGTGCCCCTGCCCGCCTTGGCCTGGTGGGACAACAGGGCTGCTTCCCGCTGCTGCCTCCTGGGTCCCTGGGCCTCAGGTGCCGAGGCACACTCCTCTGCTGTGTCACCTTCCTGCCTGGACCTTCAGATGGCGTGCCCCAGCTGGGAAGTGAGGACGGCCAGAGCCAGGTGGCCTGCCCGGGATGTGTCAGCCATTGTCGTCACCCTGGAAGCACATGGTCTCTGCGGGAAGTCGGCCCCACACCATCAGTTTGCCAAGTCAGCGCTCCCAGGGACTCCAGGCTGGCACCTGTGACAGTGCAGAGCCCCCTGCCCAAGGGGTTCCCAGGGGGTCCTGCTGGAGCAGGCAGCAAGTGGGTGATCAGCTGATGTCCCCATCATGGAACTGGGGTGTGTGACCTGGGCCCTGTCCACGCAGGTGTGTGGCCAGCACGTGTGTGCTGTGCAGACTGGGACGGCCATGCACCGGGGACAGGAGGCGCGTCTCGGTGGCCAGTGTTCTGTTTGTTTTTAACTGACTCCCTGTTCTGTAAATTTGCTTCCTGTGAGCAAGTGCTGAGGACCCCGGGTGGGGTGGGGTCGAGTGAGTCCCCCCGGCCAGGGGGTGCATCTATTTTAAGATGCCCGGAGCAGCGGCATAGCCGGCCCCAGTCTGTAGCTGCCTCAGCTGGGACGCCGCTGCGGCCTTAGCGAGGGTGACGCATCCGCAGAGATAGAGAAGGTGTCTAACGCGTCGGGAAAGGTAAAAGAATCTATTTTTGTACAAATGTAATTCTACCCCTCATGTATGTGGGTGATGTGGCCGGGTGGGACCCTTCTGTCTCTGCTTCTGGCAGTCTGGATGGATCCTGGGGACCCCGTGGGGACCTCCGTGAGACCCGCAGGGTCTCCTTCCCCTTTCGAGTGGCCTGTGACACCGTGCTCTGTCCCTGGCGACCTGCCTTCCTGCGGTCTGACTGTGAAGTTCTTCCCTGTTCTCTGAACATGGCGCTGCGGACGCCAGGGCTCTGCCCACAGTGGTGTTGGAATTGTGGGAAAGAAACCCGTGGAGACATAACGTGAGCGGAGAAACAAAACCTGAGTGTTTCAGATCACGCCTCCCGCCGTCCTGTCTGTTCTGCGCAGGGGCTTCCTGTGGGTCTGGGGCCACCACATCCCCTGCCCTCCTGCCTCTRCCCATCGGGGTCGGGCCTCAGGGCAGTGGGGCTTGAACTTCAGGCTCTGCCATTTCTCCGCCCTGTGTCCCCTCTGATGCTCCTGGGCACCTGGTTCAGTCTGTCGAGAGGCCAGTGGAGGGCGCCTCCATTGGCACCCGGGGCACCATGAGTGGATGTGCCCATGTGTTGCCACCTCCTGGCCCCACCCGGCCCTACAGCCGGTTCACACAGGGCCTCAGCATGAGGAAGTCATCTCACTGCCTGTCTAACAGCAGGGCGGCCACRCCCAGTCTGCATCTCAGTGATACGTGCCCTTCATCTGCACACTGGCCCTGAGTTTGGCGATGGTGTCCCCAGCCCTCTTGTGCACCCTTGTCCTGATGGCACCCTCCCGGAGCCTGGTCCTGCCCTTGGTGGTGTGCAGAAGGGCCAGCCACCAAGAACTGGGGTTTCCTGAGGTCACTGCCCYGTGCATGCACACATGCTTTTGCACACTCAAACACATACACATGCACACACATGCTCACACTTGACCCAGCCCCAGAGGACTGACAGAGCAGGAGGGAAAGTGGAGGCAGGCTGGCCAGCCTCCTTGGTGGAGGAGGACCCCACACCTGACACTGGCCCTCTGGGATTGGAGGGGATGACTATACCCCCCAACTCAACTTGCTTGGGGCCCTTGAATGGTGGGTGCTTGGGAGACCACAGATACCCTGCCAGTCCTGCTGCCAACTCTAATGGACCCCATCAGCCCTCCAGCCTCCTCTGGCCCGGGCCCCCAAATCCTTGGGCTGCTGCCTCCCACCAGCATGGGCCTCCCCTGGCCTTGTTGGCCCTGCCCACTCTGGCTCCTGGTGGTATAGTCGTCCGCTGGGGCCCCTCCCTGGTCTGGAAGAGGGACCCAGGGGCCTGCTGTTGGCCTGGCTGAGGCCTCGTCCTGCCTTCCACACACACGCTCACTGATAGCACAGGTTCCACCCTGGGTCTACGCCCTGAGGGCTCCCCACACTCCTGAGTCCTGGACATGGCTCCCATGGACGCTCATCCCTCACCTGCAGGGGTCTTGGGTGAGGCACAAGGGACAAAGGTACAGAACAGCCACTAGCTCTTTAGGAGAAGACAGGAAGTGGGGGTGCCTCTGGCCCTGGGTGCCGGTTTGTAAGGACCTGGTGGGTGATGGGACCCAACAGGGCTGGGGCAGGTAAGTCCAGGAGGGGCAGGGCCCTGGCTTGGGACTCCAGGGGGTGCATGGGAGACRTCTGGCAGCCCCCAGGGGTGGGCTTCACCAGTGCTCCACCAGCAGAGCAGAAGCCCCGCGGCTGCCCAGGTCTGCATCGCATGGAAACCTGGCCTCYGGCCTCCCTGCTGCCCCTGGTTGCCATGACAGTGCCTGCCCGGGGCAGTCCCWCTGGACCGGAGATGCTGGGCTCGATAAGTGTTTCACCAGCAGAATCAGGTGGCCACGGGCTGAGCCTGCACAGGCCTGGGGTCGGGAACCCTGGGGGCCAGGGTGGGGTGGGGTCTCAGGCCTCCTGTGGGGGGTGGAAGCCTGGCCTTGGGTGGGATGCTGCTGGGCAGTCACATTCCTGGCCCTGTGTGGGCCCCAAGGGGAAGRGGCTCTTCCATCAGCAAAGAGTGAGGGGGGAAAGTGTGCTTGGGGGTGGGCCTCCAGAGAGAATGAGGATGAGCCCCCTGGAGGACCTGGTGCGGGTAGTGGACACCCAGGACAGAGGACCTGGGCCCACTGCTTTGCTTCAGGACAGCAGCACCCCGGAGGGAGCAGAGGTGGTCAGGGAAGCCCAGATGGGGGCCAGAGCAGGGAGGGATTCAGGGAAGGGGCCCCTGTGAAGACCTCAGCCCTCAACCCTAAAAAGACCCAAATGGCCCCGCCTTCTCTTGRAGGTGGTCCAGGCTGCTGGGGACCCCTCTGGCCCAGAGGGAAGGAGCGGCAGGCCATTAGTGTGCATGTCTACCTACCTGCCAGTGTCRGATGGCCCCATACCAGAGAGGAGCTGGAGGAACAGGAGAGGGGCCGCAGCCCCAGCTCCACCTCCCCACCCACCAGAGTCCCTAGAGGTGAGGCTGAGGTGGGACCAGACCACTGCTGACCACCTGACCCCACCCGGGGGGGGGGGGGGTGTGCTGGTCCTCAGAAGCCTGGTGTGGAGCGGCACTGCCCCCTGCTGGAGGTGCTGGGGCAAGGCTGACWCCYCCAGCCCAAGTGTGGRGYTGCACCGCCCCCTGCTGGGGGTGCTGGGACRAGGCTGACWCCCCCAGCCCAAGTGTGGAGCTGCACTGCCCCCTGCTGGAGGTGCTGGGACGAGGCTGACACCCCCAGCCCAAGTGTGGAGCTGCACYGCCCCCTGCTGGRGGTGCTGGGACGAGGCTGACACCCCCAGCCYRAGTGTGGRGYTGCACYGCCCCCTGCTGGRGGTGCTGGGACGAGGCTGACACCCCCAGCCCAAGTGTGGAGCTGCACTGCCCCCTGCTGGAGGTGCTGGGACGAGGCTGACACCCCCAGCCTGAGTGTGGGGTTGCACCGCCCCCTGCTGGGGGTGCTGGGGCAAGGCAGGTCCCCCCACCCCCCCCACAGCCATTCTGGTGGCTTGGAGTCCACAGGCTTCCTGCACATTAAAATCATGGGGGGATTTGCAGAATCTGATGCCCAGCTGAAGGCCTACTGGCAGGGTCAGGTCTGGGCAGGAACTGGCAGCACCTCTGAAGAGCTGGGTACGCAGCCCCACTGCCCTGGCAGCAGGCTGGGATGCGGGCAGGTCCTCTCCTCCCTGGGCCTCAGTTTCCCCATGTCTGTAATGAGGACAGAGTCCCACCACCCAGGTGACCAGAGGYCCCAGTCACCTGGAAGGGGCTCTCTGGTTGCCACGTACCTTCTCTTTTTGGAGTGAAGAGGCTCTCACACCGGGTGCTTGGTGGGGGAGGAGGCAGGCTGGACCCCAGTGTGACCCCTGGGMGGGGGTGGGGGCTGGCTCCCTTGGGGATTCAGCCTGGGGATCCACCTTGGGGAAGGCCAGAGCCCAGGGGAGGTGTCCTGGCTTTTGCCATGGGGAGAGGGCTGAAGAAGGTAAGGCCCCCAGGTGCCCTTGGTGGTGAGCCACAGAGGCTGCAGGTCAAGGACAGTCAGAGCTGTCGACAGGGGTCCACGGGGGGAAGAAAGGTCTGGGGAGGGACTCGGTGCTTCCTCCCCCGCCCTGTCTTCCCATCCACCTGCCCCTTCCCTTCTCTCCTCCCTCCTCTTTCCTTTCTTCCTTCCCTCCTCTCCATCTTTCCATGTACCCATCCATCCATCCTCCTGTCAACCCTTCCATCTGTCCATCTGTCCTTCCATCTCTTCTCCCTCCCTTCCTTCCTTACCCCCATCTTTTCCACCATCTGGCYCAGGCCCCCTCCCAGGATCTCTCATCTACCCACCAGGGCAGGAGGGTTGTAGGGCTGAATCCCGGGCTGCTCGGCCGGGGTCCCTGGGCATGCAGGCCCCTCCTCCTGGCCCCACCCTGCAGGAGGGGTGGATGAGGAGGCCGGGGGTGGAAAGGTGGCCCTGGGCCCTGCAGGGGTGGGTGAGTGCCGTGGGTCCTGGACCCCACTGGGAGCAGCTCTCTGGCAGATTCTGGATCTCACGGAGAAAAGGGGGTGGCTGCTGGAGCCGGGCCTCCGCCCCCAGCTCTTCAAGTGCAGGCACCCGTCAATGCCTGGCCCGGCCCTCGGAGGTGGTGCCCTCCCCGTGTGAGGGTCAGGGAGCCAGGCCCTGGGACCAAGGCCAGGAGGAGAGTGGCAAAAACACCTGCTCCCCTGGCCTGGCCCTCTGTCTGTGGCTCTGGGAGGGTGGCAGTGAGCTTGGTGTCCTGAAGGCCTGGGGTCCTGCCAGCCTGAGCTCCTCCCAAAGAACAGGAGCAGTGATGTGACCTCAGGTGGATAGCCACTGCCCAGGCGGAAACGGGCCTGAGGGGGGCTACTGACCGGGGTCAGCCTAAGCAGCCCCAAGAAGCAAGTCTCTGCCCCAGGCCAGCCCTCCAGACAAGAGCAGACTCCACACCTTCCTCTGAGGACCTTATGCCTGGGGGAGGGGAGCCGTGCAGGCGTGTGACTGCTGCCTGGGGCCCGGGTGGCACCTGAGGTGGAGCCCAGGCTGGGCAGAGGGGCGTGGATGTGAGCCAATGAGCCGAGACACCTGTGGGCCTCGCCTGCCCGACCCTGCAGGAGCCTGGGGTGGGGATGGTCCTGGGACGYGAGGGCTCAGAAAGGGTAGGTGGCTGCATCTCTGCTCCCCTGTCCCCTCCAGGAGGCTGGGGCAGCCATTCTGGAAGGCAGCTTGGCAGGTCTTGCAGAGTATAAGGTTGTCCAGCAACTGTGCCCCTAGGCATGTGCCCCTGATCTGAAGGCTCATGTCCACTCACAAACCCACTCATGAACACGGTTAGCAACTCTTCCTCATTGCCAAAGCCAGAGCCAGGAGAATGCCCTTCCATGGGTGGACAGAGCAGTGCTCAGCACTGAGAAGGGGGCTGCGGGGCCACCCAGGGACACCATGAGCCTCACGTGTACTTCACTGGGGCAGAAGCTGGGAAGAACGGGGCTGTGTAGTGTGGCTTGTGGGCATGGCATCCTGGGACCACATGGCCACCAAGATGGCCACCCATCATGAACAGCTGGGTCCTCTTGGACAAAGGCTGGGTGAGAGACACCAGGGGCATTTCTGAGGGTAACAGAGCTATGCTGGCCACACTAGGGTGGGGATGCTTGTCTTCCGCAGAACTGTACGGCACAGCGAGGGAACCTCATGGGGTGACACAGTGAATCCCGGGATGGAAACCGGACACAGCAGCGCCATCCACCATGTCACAGACGAGGAAGCAACCTCACGGAGGGTGCTGGCCTGGCCCGTGCCCACGAGCTGAGGCAGAGGGTGGAAAGGTGGC